ATCGCAGGGTTTCGACTAAAGAGATTCAGACACATTCGTTTTGTATGGGGAACAACTCAGTGTAAAGAAAGATGACGAATTATTCTTTAGGCTCTCTACAAGTTTATAACAAGTATGACCCTTCCCCATTCCCTCCCCCTCGCGCTCCCATGGTATTGATCGTATATGGTTCTGTTCAATACTGAAGGTCAACGCAGTCCTGTCGAGGAGGAAGAAGACGAACTTGACCTCTCACCACCCGTGCTAGAAGAAGCAGTGAACCTGTTACTTGTAAGCAAGACAGTCATGAGCTGCCTTCTTGTTTTACAAAACAGACGTAATACGGGAAAGAGCCACAACTCGACCACGACGGAGTTACCAACAGTTATTCATGTGCCGTCAAAGGTATGTTTCGGTGTATTTTTGGAACTTGGGGAGGGGAGAGAGGGTGGTCGGTTGTGTCCTAATACAATTACGTACTCTCCCCACGAGGCTCTGTAGTGTTCTAATGATCCCTCTCACTGGTAGTCAGTTTTCTTAAGTCTTTCCTTTAATATCTGTTAGTTGTGACTGATCCCCTCTGCCCCCTTGAAAACCAAGTGATTCCTCCAAAGTCCTAGCTCCCCCCCCCCCCGTGATGACTGATTTCCCCCTCTGCCTCCCCTTGAAAACCATGTGATCCCCAAAGTCCAGCGGAATCACTCTCCATCCCCCCCGTGATGACTGATCCTTCTCTTTTTCCCTTGAAAACCATGTGACCCCCCCAGAGTCTTACGGTACCCCCCTCCCCTCCCAGAGCGATGAATAAGAACTGGTCCCTTATTTCCTTATTTGAAACATTTACGACTGTGGCTATACTTAAACCCTATACACCCTAACATCAGTATGCACATTCTCCATACTTTCCTCTATATATTTACTGAGGTGATGACAAGGAGAATTTGTCAAACAATCAAGAGCTTCTTAAGTTGCTGATCATTTCCTTTAATCTCGTGACATGAATCCTTGAATCAGGGGTGATATGGTAAAGAGAAATTAGATGCTGGTCATTCTTACAAATTAAAGGGTCGAGAATTGTCTAATCTATTTTTTGCAAACTAAAGGACGTGTTGCAGGAATCCGTCTGTCGGCGCTTTGGAAACAATTACGCTTGCTTACGTTTTCTTTAAAGTCATAAATCGTTAAGTCCAATTTTGTTTCTTTCTTTAGGCAAATAAAAAAACACAAACAAGCCCAGGACCCAATCGATCATTGAGACGGATACGAAAAGGTAAAAATGCTACTTGAGAACGTTCTTGCTTGTGGGTTATGCGGAGTTGTAATGGTTAGCGAGCTAACCTTTGGAGGTCTGGGTTCGATTTTTAGCTGGGTCACTATTTCACTCTTACAGTGGGTCTCTCCATCCGAGATTGTAAAATGTGATAGGCAAACTATCAGAGAAGCCTGAGGGGGGTGGGGATGGGGGAGGGGGAAGGTAAGGTAAGGTTTATGGACCAATATCCCATGTTGTTTACCCTACCGACCCCTGGAAAGCTTCGGCCTCCCAGCTAGTCAGTCTGAGGTAGGTAGGCAAAACCAAAAATGAGAAAAAAGGGAATATCACAAGTATTGAATGAGAACTATGAACAAACTATGAGCAAACTTGAAGCGCGGGAAAATGCGTTGGCACGTAATTGAGCTCAGTATTGAACTGATTGTTTAAGTGGATGGTGAGAGTATTTGGGGCCAATCACAGAGCGACGTGAAACAAAATCAAAGCAATTTAGGATCACTTTAGACACTCAAGGAAAATTGCCTATAAGTCACTGCCTTGCTCCCTATTAATCATTTTTTTTCCACTGATTGTGGTAGATGTAAGCGTTGGAACAGATCTGCCCGCCAAGATACAACTCAGTAATAAAGAATGTCAAACAAGTCTCCAGGAAATCTCAGACCGGTGAGTTGATGGCGTGTGCCCTTTAAAAAAAGTAAAAACATATAAATTCGAAACCTTCACCTTTTAGCATTTTCATTTCAGTAGCGGTTGACTTACAGAGAAAGCCGTATCAATGATCTTAGCGACTTTTCCTAAAAAATTTTTTCTTGAAAGTGTTAATGGAGAAATTCCTTACCTCTCTTTGCCAATTGTAAAACTTGGGAAGTACCAGTCTTTGATAAAGGAGACTTGTCAAAGAAGGGAAAAACTTGGAGAGAAAACTGTTCACGATAGACGCTATACTTAAGGCAAACTTGTCAGCAATAACATGGCGGTTTAACTGACAAAGAAGTCTGAGGTCTAAGATACTTTTCTTCTTTCAGAGTGCTGGCGATAAATTCGCCGCCTAAAGACGAAGTTCTGCAAGTCAATCCTAATCTGGAGGCATGGAGCGACTTTCCTGATTCAAACGCGCATCGGACTTCTCAAGATAGCATACCACCACAATCACGTGACCCAGACGGCGCCTCCAGTGAGGGCGAGCCTGCGATCATTGATGAGAACCGCGAAGAAGTGGCCTTGGAATCAAGATATGAGGGCGTTATGTCTTACAGCGAAGATGACGATTTGAGAGAAACAAAAGGAAAGAAAAAGAAAAAGACGAGACTTTTCTCGTGTTTAAGTCCCCCCAGATTATCCTTCCGAAAGAAATCTGAAAAAGCGAATCGGTCCAAACAAGAGACAACCAAACTGGTGATGAAAGAGGTATAATATTATTTAAATTTAGAGGTTTTGTTTGTGTTTGGTCGGCATAATGTTTACTTAGTTAATTTGACAAGGGGCTCAGATAAATCATTTGAGTGTCTGATTTATTGAGGAGCACTTTAAAGTTTGATCAAATATTGCCCGTTTAGTGAAAATGAAATGTTCTTTCGTTTTAGTAACTTAAGTGAATCATTACGCGCTTTAAAAAAGAAAGCAGTGTAATGATCTTGGAAGGTATTTATATTAAAAAAAAAAAAAAATTAGTTAATGAAGAGTTCTTCTGTTGTGAGAGGAAGTTTCACAGATTATCTATTCAGATGGCGTAGATCATGGTTTATTTGTTCTGTCAAAAACATTTTTTTCAGAATAATGTGGCAAATAGTATTTGTTTTGCTAATAAATGTTTAGAGCTTTGATAATTTTATTTAAGTTATAATAAGTATATTGCTTAGGGTTAGGTTTTCAGTTTTCGTAGGTCTTGATTTTTATAGTACGTCCAAGTTATGAGTTAATAATCAAAATTAATGTAGTAACGTGCATGTTCTATTATTTTGTTAAGTTAACCAAATGTGAAGTCGTTATTTTTATAGCAGTTGATAAACTTGTTTAAAATCTTGTTTTAAATATTGTCAAAATCTAAACGTACATTAAAGGAATATTTAGAAACTGGACAAACACTAGCTTGGCTTAATTGTAGTCATAAAAAGCTAGGTCATACATAATTTGTAATATTTGGGTACTCCAACGATTGTAGCGCATTAGTCTCAACTTAGAAAATTCCACATTCATATTGTTTTCACTTTCATAATGGTGTCTTTCAGTTTAAGACTAGTTGACTTTCATTTTTTCTTTTTTAGTAGTTTTGGATGTCGGTAGGTAAGGTCATGTCAAAGATTTGTCGTGAAATACTTTCCGTATTGATGTATTGAACACAAAATTTGTGTCGTGTAAGTAGTTGCATCTTTCTGTAGTACTGGTAAATTGTTGTTGTTTTTTAATTTCTGGAGAAAAAATAGGAGATTTATCTAAGAGAGGAATGAAGAGTAAGGTTCATTTAGTTTGTTTGGGCTACGAAATAAATAAAATGACGAACGTAGATGTTTTTTAATGAAATTATAAATAAAACCCGTATCGCGCACGTGTTTCTTGCATTCTTGCCCAACGCAAAATAGAACCTGAAAAGTACATAATGAAAGAAAAAGAAAGGAAATTAATCGCCAAATTTCGAATTTCGACAGATTGCTGCATTTTAAAGAAGCAATAATTACCCTCGCAACTTACCGGCGGTACTCAAATGATCGCCAAAGCAACAACACTCTCCCTCCCATCCCCCCCCATCCTCCCATTCCCCCCCCCCTCCATCATTTAATTCCAAGTTAAATCAAACCTTCTGTAATCATTCCACGAAGGAGTGGATCATTTTTAAAGAGCAAGAAGAATACGTTTCTATAACCGACAGCTAAATTCGAGGCAATAAACCAAGTATTTGAGACATCGCTCCTTGTACAGAAACAACCTTTACTGAGATCGTGTTTGATGAGCGATTGAGATTTTGCTAATGACAGAACAAAATTCTCCATGAAGACAGGTGTTTCCTAAATACTTCATTGTTTTCAATACTCACACGACTAGCTGATAACAGCGAAGGAGGTCAACCTCATTAGCAGCTGAAAATATTATCTTTTGATCAGCAAAATATAGAAACACCAGGAGGAAATTCTTAATAATTAACACCCTTTCTCTTGCAGCGCTACGATTTAAATTCGATGGGATTAATTGATACCGTTATAAGCAACAAAACACCTTACGAAGACTTCATTAACGCGTTTTGTTGATTTAAAGTGCTCGAGCAGCTTAAATTGGGCGATGGCGGAAAAGGTAATTTCCTGTTTCACCCTAAATATTTCATTTCTTTCCCTATCACAAATTCAGATATATTGAGAGGTTTGAAACTTATTTAATCTATTTTTATCTCGCACTACGCCTGGTTCCGCGACAGGCGTCGAGAGTAAATTGCAACAAATGCTCAGGATTGCTTCAAAAGAATAAACCGTTTATATGCCTGTCGCGTTAGGAATACGAAAGAACATGTTTATCAAGTGAGATTGTTACCAAGGTTTGCTCTAATAACAAACGATACCTTATCTCCGTGAGCTGTGAATGCAATCTAAATGACATTGTCGAGAAAGATCTTGAAAGCAATTAAGAGAGGCCGAAACTAATTTTGAAAGCAACTCACACTTCATCAGAGCTGCAAGTTCTCGGCTTGTTATCATTTGAACGAAAAATCAAACATAACAAATTCGTTATTTAGCTAATCGCTCGAAAATTGTTCCCGACTTTTTAAACAGAAAATCGCCCAATCAGAAGTTGGCAGAGTGGTTTCATCCAAAAGGATTTTTCACGACTTTCAAGAGCGAATGATACACTGGATGGATCAAAACTACAGTCGAATACTTGATCTGTTTCGAAGGTTTGACTCAGACAACAGCGGCACAATTTCATACGACGAGTTTGCGGCTGGTATGAAAGATCTAGGTGAGCTTGTTATTACTAACTTTTTTCTTGCTTTCTTTTTTTTTTAAGGTAATTACAAATCAGTAGCCTAATGTAAACAAATGCTCGGTGAATTTGCTTATTTAAAATGATTCTGAATTATGGTTTAAGCGTTCATTAATTTAAAGAAAAACTGAATCAAGTAAAATTAATACAGTCTTAAATGTAAAGTGTAAAGTAGATTTTTCCTCAAAGTCGTACAAAAAAAATTATCTTTGAGCGCGGTATATCTTACTGATCTAGATTGCGATCGTCGATCAGTAGATGACGTAAAAATAAGATCAACATAAAATGTAAAAATGTCTTGCCAGAGCTTAGGTAATACGGTAGAGCACGACAATTTTGCAACCGAGATGTTTTAATTTGGTTTCTTTTTTTCCAATTGAAAATCATATTTCCATGGCTGAAAAAGCACTGAGCTGATCGAACACTGTAAAGGCAAATGAAATAACTGGTGTCTAATTCGCCCGACTGAGACTGGTATAGATTGACGGTACAATCTAGTGTTAAGCAGATTAAATTTCTACTCGCCATTTTGAAGGACGAGTTTACTATTGTTGCTAGACGAAAAGAAAAATATAGGGACGGGGTGGGAGGGGAGGGGAGGTCCTTGTCCAGCCCCTAAGGTATGTCAGATCAATTTAAGTTTTTTTGGTTGACTTCTCGCTCGGTCACATGATCACTGAATACACAATAATTGTGGGAAGGGAGGAGACTAAATTTGTCTATGAAAATGACTTCGAAAGAGAATGCAAAAATGCGATTTCTTAAAGGAAAATTTCAGACAGCATATCGCCTTATGAGAAAACAAACTTCCGTTTCGCCCTACACGAAAAAGGGCCTCCCTGTAGCTTTCCATTGTTAGCGCTGCAAGACGCGCCTTTCTCCGACCTCGGAGAGGTTTGAGACGAGTCGGACACTGGTTTCTCGGGGTCTGACACTAATAATAAATCATTATCCGTGCTTAGGCCTTTCCAGATTCTGTTTGTAAAATACTGGAAAGTTCCTAACTGGGATGCCAAAAAGTTGCTAAAAAAATGCCATAAGTCCAAAAAGTTGCGACCTAAATTTCCAAAGTTACTTCTTAAATTCTGGATAATTTTTATGAACGTTAATTAAAAGCTATATTTTTCGTTCTTCGTAGTAATAAACTTAGCTTTAAAGGGTTGCTCTCAAATAAGGGCGGTTTCTAACCATCCATTTCCGTTAGTGGAAAGTAAATTAACAAAGACAGCCATTTTGGTGCGTCGTTTTAACCGATTATCCGTTCTAATATTACAAAATAGGCCTGCGAAACATTCAAGTAATCGGCATAAATCAAAGTTTTTATAAAATCGTCAACTTCATCGTGCTTGAAGTGTGCTCTAAACCTAAAAGTTGCCAAAAATTGCTCAGAAAGGCAAAAAATTGCTCGAGGTTGCTTAAACCGCAAAAAGTTGCTCCAAACGCCAAAAGTTGCTCAAAAGTTGCTGAGCAAAATCAGGTCAAACCTAACAATGCTACACCCCTTGAAGACCTCTTACCTGCTAGCATTGCTTAACGCTTCATACTTTCCCGCCAGCGAAGAAACGCTCGTGCTGATGCACTAATAGTAAGGGCCCATGCATGCGCGCGGGCTAAGAATACATTAGCCCACGCCCAGATTAGTTTCCTTCTTCCACGCTGCAATTTTTATGAGTATTATTACTTTCCTTTTTTCTTTTTATCCTTTTTAGGTGCTCCTGCCACTCAAGTAGAAATCTATATTATGGCCACGTCCTTGGACTCAGACGGCGACAAAGAGATCGATTATCGCGAGTTCAAGAAGATGCGACGGCGGATTAAAGCGAGCGCACCGATCGAGAAGGCCGCTGAATTAGAAGAATACGAAGAACCGACGGCTCAGTTACAGTCATGCCCCAAGTGCAACGTGGGATTATGGGAACCTGTGGTCGAGGACGTTACTGGGTAAGAGTTCGTGTTGGCGTTAATTAGGCGCGTGAAAGAGGCCTAGATTGAATTGCATGCGAGATTTTGTTCTATAGAGGTCTAAAGCCAAAAACAAACCCGATATGCTACGACACTTCGAGGATAAACTTCAAGGAATGGCGAGAGGGGACTAAATTGAGAAGACACACCCTGTCTTTTCCCAATCCTCTCTCTCCCAAAGTTGTCCCTCAGTATCGACAGAACTGGTCACGCTCTTATTCGCGAGCGTCTGTGTCGAGGGAAAACTGTCAACTACTGCCTGTGTGTGTTAGAGAAGACGACTTGCAATTAAATTGGTTTCGATTCGGAGACAACCAATAGAAAAGCGCTCCGGGGTAACGAAACAGTTTAGTATGGGTTTAGATAATGTTTTCTGTTTCCTTGTTTGTAGGTACGTTGTGCTGGATTTGCACAGTGTTTCCTTGCAAGATGTCACCTCAATTCCGGGATATATTAGTGCTCAGGTCCCTTCCAACATTTCTATTTATGGCATAACGCTGATCGTCAAGCGCGAACTGGGACCGTGCACTTTAAATATCAGAATATTTCAGTCAAACGAAAATGGAGAAAAACAGGAAATGGAGAGTAGCAAGAAACTTAAAGATTTCGGATTTCTAGGAACTTTGCCACCAGACGAACCACGCCAACTTACGCTGTACTACGATTATGACTATCCGTTCCTGGACTGCCCGCTACTTATGGCAAACTTTTCCATCTAACGCGATTGCAAAATGCCGAATTTATACGCGAATGTTTTTCTTTACATGTATTAAAATCTGGTTGGCCAGATTTGGAACAAGGAGACATTACAATGATAAACTACCAGGAATGGCGAGGGAGGACTGAATCGAGTAGACACACCGTGTCTCGTCCCAATTCCTTCTCGCTCGGAGTGGATTGTATGGTGTACGGTTAAGTAACGTGTACCAGACGAAGAAGATAACGGCGACCGGCGTTCAACTTATAGCGTTGTGTTTGAATCTCAACTCAATTTACCATTGGTTGTCGAAAGCCATCCGGGATTGTATTTGCAACGCTCTGTGATTAGACCAGAAAACTCACGCCATTTTCTCACCCAATCAATACAAGAACTCGTCACTAGCGTATTCTCCTGTTGAATGATCCAGAAAACTCATACCAATTTCTCGCCCGATGAGATGCAAGACCAGGTCACTGGGGTGTTCTCTTACCGAAGGGCGATGGTTTTTTTGTATTATTGTAATAGTAACTACAAAATAGAGTCAAAATCAACTTGAATTCTTGTGTTGAAAGAACTTAAAAATGTACATTTTAATTTCTTTCGATAATCAATTCATTCGTTTACTTTTAGTATTTTTTGGATAAAATTTAAAGTCCTCGTGATATGGGATAACTGTCCTTCGTAAGATCCACAATAGTCGATAGATAACCCATCGTAAAATTGACAACATGATTTTTCTCATCCTTTCGTCGATTGCATCTACCCTTCCACCCATGCGATAGCACATTTTCTGTTGGGCTATCAAACTTCAATGTTTTGACAGAAAAACTTTAATGTTATTCCGCCCATTTGGGAGAAGGGTTTGCATTGCCTCCCACAAGAGAGGGTTTTCTCGCCTGGTTGATGATGTTTGGTAGTGACGTTTGCGGTCTAAAATACAAGGCAGAACTTTCAAGTGTGGCGTTCCACTATCCACCAACTTATGAAATCAAGTGATAGATCTCACACAGCTTCATTCGTTTAGAGAAGTTGGAAGAATGTTGCGCATTGATGCGAAGACGGTATCAAACATTGTTTAACAATATTGAGAGACGGGAATTGCAGCTCTGTATGAAACCTTTAAACTACACAAGAACAGCCACTACATGTCCTTTCCTCATTTTTTTCTAAAGCCAGAGTGTGGCGTGACGGCTTACATTTCAGTCTTATTTTTAGGGTATTGCGTGACTATCACACACCTTGTCACGTAGCGACTGCTACGTTGAATATTCTCACACTATGATCCAAACTACAGCTCGCCAGCTGTAAAGTCGCACCATTATTATAATCGTTAGTTCGTCTCCATCGCAACCTTCGAACTGTAAGCACGTGACAAATCCTGTGCATTAAAGTTGCAAGATGTAAGGAAAAAAAAATATAAGCAACGAATCAATTGCCACAAATCAACACCATAGAATTATTTTCACTAATAGCATCGTTTAAATGACTTAAAACTTTGTATATGCGAGTAACAGTTTGTTCTCTAAAAGAGGTCAGAGAAATCCTCTCATATGCTTCTAAACACAGCGTAATAATATCCAAAAAGTTGTAAAGGATACGATTGGTCCAAAGTGTGAAGAAGACTCCACTGGCCACTTGCACGGCTAGCTCCATTCAAACTCCAGGAATATAGAAATATACGGCCTGATTCAGAACCAACAGCAATAGTGTACCTAAACGGCCAAGAAAAATAAAATTTCTCATCATAGTCTTACCTTTAAATATCAATTATAGCGTGATGGTCACTGTAGGTCCTGTTTTATTTTGATTTTGTTTTCGTTTTAATATTTTAAAACAACAAATTAACCTGTGAGGTGGGGCCCGCAAAGCGTTTAAGCGTCAATGAAATTCGAAAGTTCTTAAGTAGCACTCTTAGTCTTGGTGCACGGTTTCCTGTCTCCATCAAGCGTGACAACAAAACTTTCTCACGGGGTGAAAGTAGTATAAGGAGTCACAGTTTCCTATTTACAATTTCGAAGATATCTTACCTTCCATTATTGACCCATGGCGCAATATCTACGGCGGTGGCAGCTTCACCGATATCTACAGGACTGGAAGCCGCCTGCCAGTTGTCGCTAGAAATGTCCGTGCTACCCCATAATATGACCTGCCAGGAAAATAGATAGAAAGTGATGGTCGAACCACCATGAAATCAGGGCCGTTATCAGGATATTTCACGCGGGGGCCAAAGTTATGAATTTCGCGCGCCTTGCGTGAAATGGCCAATACCGCTGCTTTTTCTCGTGCGTCAAAGGACTCGTATACATGCGAGGATAAGGAAAGGTAAATGAATTACCCTGCACAGCATGGATGGTTCAATGTCAGTGTCTAACCAACTGCACACCTACCCCTCTCCTTATCCAACAACAGTGAACTAATAACAAGTTTGGGTTTGTGTTGGATTATGGAGGGGCAGGTGCGCAGTTTCTCACATACTGACACTGATCGGAATGGATTTAGGTCACGTAGATTCTTCGGATCGCAAGTTTCCGCAAACACGAAATGTAAAACTTGTATGCTATTGACTTAAAAAAGAATTTCTCACGAAGGGGAACGCTGACCTTTTTATCCCTTGAAGCTGTGGCAAAGTATTTGTCATCTTCACTCCAAGCACATGACCAAATAATCCTTGCGTGTTGATTTTTCTTGTCGCTTCGAGCAACAAGACTGAAGAGCTGACCTGTAGCATCCAAAAAAAATGAAATAAGCAAATAAAGGACCACTCATTACTA